CCTCTGAGTCGGAGGGCATTGGTTTGCCATATAATGGCTGGATATAATATGAGGATTGACTGTATTGCAATATTAGGCATGAGCTGGCTGCTTTTATTACTTTTCACTTTGTCTGGGCGGATTGATACATTTTGGCAGATGAAGTGTGTATCAAATCAGCATAATGTTCTCTTTTGGTTCTGAACCACTTCCATATATTCTCTTTTAATACTCGGTGACTTGGAACACAATTGGCAAGATCCTGAGGGGGGATCACTGAGCCAATAAGGTATCTAGGCATTTTTATTGGTCACAATGGGAGGCAGAACATGCAACTAAGTTTCATCACAAAGTAAATAAATTAGGGGTGGAACTGAACATGTGGAAGGCAAGGAGCCTTACCATTAATTGCAAAGTTATTTTAGTGTGATTTAGTGTCTCAAATTTGCTCTATATCCCAAAGGCAATTTCTGTGCCAATAGCATTGATTCAGTCAGCTTGAGCAACGCCTTTCAATTTTCCTTGGAGAGGTAATAAATACAACATTAAGAATAATATATTAATATAAAATTAACCTCCAGGTGGTGTTCAAATTACTAAAGAAGATGTAATCTAAACACTAACAAGTAACTACATGAGAATGATAATTGTGCGCAGAAACATTGTTGGGAGGGACGTATCTTCTGTATTCAAGCAATTACATTCTATTTGCGATTCATTTACAGTATTATTTAAAAAATGTAAAAGATCTGATTTCATTAGAAAAAAGCTGCGTTTCCTGATGCATTTTTCACTCAAAATGGAAAAACATCCTTGCCAGTATAAAACATTCAAAACGTGTTTTTTGTTTGACAAACGTTTTTTTTTTTCATGGATTCCAAACAACGACGGAGTGAGTGTTTCTGTTTCGTAATGTTTGTATCTATTGGTTTTTGTATTCTCTCTTTTGTAAGTCATACTTTGAAATAAAAATTAAATAAAACAAGTGTGTATCAAAACATGGCCTCCTCCTATGTAGCCATTATTGTTTCTAATAATTAGTTATTGTTTTTTTCTGAGAGAGAGCCAACTTAAACAAGATTTCCATGCTGTGCTTGCATGTATGCAGGAAAGTATTTTATTTACAATTTTCAGTCAGGTCTCATTTTATAATGTTTACGGAAGTATCGAATAAATCAGACCTGTATTTTTTTGCCCGGGCTCACTGAGATATCATATGCTTCTTTGTGGTTGCTAGTTTCTGTACACTGTTCTCAGTGTCAATTCTGAAATAATTGTGCCGTTATGTGTCGTTGTAGATGTATTCCAGACAGTACTTTGAGATTGTAGCTGTTATTATAACACCATTCATGATTTGTTTACGTGGGTCCAGCTGTCAATGTGGAGACGTTGCATAAATGTATGACACTAGATACAGGCTAATAATTGTCTATTTTCTTTATCCTATCTTACTAGTTATAATATATAACCAAAACAAACAGTGCGCATGCGTCTCGAACGAATACTCAGCTGCGCAGTGCTACAAGAAAAGCGTGTTGAGCGCACGTAGTGTAACGTATTTACCAGTATTCCATAGTGTTCATTAATATACAGTGTCAAACAATGATAACAATTACACGTACTTGTCTATATTACATCTTTAACATTGTGTTCTATGGAACTGTTAGCATTTAGATAGCATTTGTTGAATAATAATTACAAATACGACACTGTAACACACTCCATAATGTTGTTTGTCGTTACCATGGAAATATAGATCAAATAGTGTACCCATTGATTTATGACCAACTTCTACCATAATATATGATATTAGTTGAATATATATAGCTTGTTGTCTTATAAATACGTATTGACGTATATTAGTGGTCTGAATGTATTGGGACCGATCGGGGCCTCGTTCGAGATCCGTTTTAATTCTAGGGTATTCCTGGATAAGCGTCAGTTACTGCGCCCTCGCCGTTGTACTGTGTCAGTTTATTTCTGTGATATAACCGTGGCTGGCTGATGTATTGCTTCGTCCATTACCCACAACACATCCACGCATTCTACACGAGGTTTGTTATTCTCGATTTCTATACCTTAACTTATATAACCTTATAATTCGTTTAGTTGTCTGAGGGTTGGTGTTTGAAAGAGTAGCATTTTAGATATATTCAGCTTGACAATGAAATAGACAACTTTTAGTGAGTGTTTATTGTGATACAGAACACCACTCATAGTGTCAATCTACATTAAAACAGATGATCACATTTTTTCATGCTGTTCACAAAATTAAGATGAAAAATATACTCATCACACGAAAATAAGAGACATTCCCTGGTATTCAAGTCACAACTATATTCCGGGAACTTAGTACTAACTAACTGCCGAGTAAAAACAGTCGGCTCCGGGAATCGAGCCCATATCCTCCCTAATGCATGTAATATTTAAAAACTTAGTTAGATAATCTTGGTAGAACAAAAGAGTCACCTTGAACTGTGTTCGACAGTGACAAAAAACAACTTTATCTCGCGATTCTGAAGTATTTTGATGCCATGTGACCCTAATTTGTCAATTTGTTGTTTTCTTTCACATGTCTCCTCCAACTATTAGTCATCTGTATAAAAAATATTTTGCAAATGTACTTTAAGGTAATAAAAATATGTGAATGATGACCAAAGAGCAGATTTTATAACCCTGTCTTTTTTGTACGAGATAAATATCCACAAGCCTGTAACAAGGGTTCGTTTTGCAAGAGTTGTTAAAATGTGCAGTGTTGTTAAAATGCTCCGGTGTATGTGAGTACCAGCATATTCTGAATAAACATTGTGTTAGAATTGGTAGTTTATTTAGATTATTCTATATATCTATACTCCAGATATCTAGTGGAACATTAGCTAAATTAAACTTCCAGCTAAACCAGGAGCTGAATCGAAATTGATATACCAAAAGAAATGTTTTTTGCTTTTGTTTTTTTACGGTAAACGCATCGCCTGGTGGCGCTGCACTATATGTCGCAATCTTCTTCTCCCAATCGATCTCGTCCAATGTGTTCTATTGGGGGCGCTGATGCATAAACAACTATACGCACATGTACAAATAGCCGAATGCGTCACTCTTGTTGTCGGGAAACGGTGAAGGTATTTCGCAATCCGCCAGCTTTATAAAGAGCGAAAACAAAGACGTTGATCATTTCGAAATAAGCATTTAATAAACACGAAAGTAAACATACTTGTTAGCACAATATTGCTATGAACAAATACTACGCGCATACTTCAAGGAAGACTTCAGGGGCGTTTATGACAGCAGTGGATTTGGTGAATATTTTCCTAGCGACTCTTATATTGGCAAAAAGAAAAAACGACAATCTGGAGTTGTTAACCGAAGACGGCAGTATGACGATAGTTTGATCCAGTATAACAACGGAATGCATGATAGCCATGGTTGTTACAGGTATGGCGATCGTCTACTTATGATACTACTGTATTCATTTCAATTCTTTTAGATCTATGATATAACTTTTATGGAAGAGCGAGCATAATTTTCACTAGGAAAAACGAAAAGATAATTTAGATAGAAAGGGGATTTGGTTCGGTATTATGTAATGTCTAGCTGACAGTGACGTCGAATTTTGTTGACAGTAGCTTTAATTAATATAAGCGAAAGTTATATCGGTAACCAAAATCGGGCTAATGCCTGGAAATTTCGTGTAATAAGTGACTCAACTTAAACTTTCATTTTCGGAATATCTGAAACAAAATCATGATCTGCGATGATACTAAGTCGCAGCTCAGCAGACAACCAACTAATTTGTTAGTTGTCTGAGGTCGCATGCAGGCATATTTTAAAGCGCAGTGGTCGTCGCGCAGCGCGTGTTCAAATTTCATGTAAATAAACAATGTATTTTACATGCGTTGTATACGTCACTATGAGTCCCATATCGAACAGGACGCGGCACGACGACTGCCGCCCTTTAAGAAAGATTCGATCTCTTGATATGAGGGTTTGATCGTCGGTTCAAGTTCAAAGTTAATGATTATTGTTCTTGGGTTTCCTTGTTAACAAAGTGTGAACTCGGCGTCAATGTGATACACTCAACCCGACCGAACAGCACAGCGGGCTGTTTCTAGCCCGAGATTAGTGAATTTCTGGCGTTGGTATTTGCCATAAATGCCATCATGTCAAAAATATATTACCCACAAGTTAGTTTACCGAACCCGAGGCCGTGTTCCAACTGAGGTGTGTGTACGATCTATTTGTTTTCCTAAATCGGTGCAATTTTTTTAATTTCAAGTCTATATTAAAATAGTCATAAATATTGTACTTTCATTTGACGCGGAATTTTGGTAATTCACTGGTTTCAGTACTGTTATCACCAATGAAATTTTGGAAATTGCACCTGACATACAAAACGTTTCGCAACCGAGTTCGGATGAGCACGCCCCCACGTGACGATATCATACTACACATTCCTTCCATCGCAATATTAAATTGTTTACGCGCATTTTTGTGTTTGCATTTAGTTGTTTGTAAAATGAACAATTTGTCTTAAAACTATGAGTGATTTTACGTAATATATTAATTTATTGTACAAAAAATGATCAAAACTTTTGAAAGTATATTTAATAATAACTTCTCGTACTTAAAATATTAGCCATTGTGATGTGTTAGTATACACATTTATTGTTTTTCATGACAACGTTAACCCTTGCATCAACCCCAGCCCACCAGCACCCCACACGGGATCCCACCACACCTCAACTTTATCAAGTTACGCCCAGGAAATGACAGCTAGTAAGAATCTATTGCGCAATCTGGAGGGGCAGGACGAGAAACCCCGTATAAGGATGGCCTATTCACATGGTTATCAAATTCCTCCGCATGAATGAATGAGTGCTATTTAATCACTATTTATATTTGTATTCTTATCGTCAATGATACCAAAAAACGTCAAATTTTGTACTATAGTGAAATCTGCATATTTCGCGTTAATATATTAAATCAGTTTTATGTTATCTTACGTCAATTGTGTCTGCGGAAGAAAATAGTGCCTAATCAGCTGTATAGCTCACAGTAAGGTCATTCTCCCTCTCGGCTCTACTTTCGCTAAAGATGTCTAACTACGATGAAGCGAGTGATTCTAGGTGAGCTAAATATTTTGAAAATTCTTGACGTGCTTCATTTTCACAATTCCGAAGTGTAACATATATTTTGTCGTTATTAATTACAGAATGTGTCTGTTCATTGTTTCGGCTAACAATGATATGGAAGCCTGTAATTTCACAGTGCTAAAGAGGTTGGTCGTCAAACAGGACCAACATGGCGGATGAGAAAAGCACGTGTAAAAATGCCGGTTACCATATGCCTATTGAGAAAAAAATAGAAGTGTATAGGCCTTGATAGTTCTTCTGTATTTTCTGAAAGAACTACAGAAATGTTTCGGTCACGTTGGCTGTGAAAATAATTGTATTTTAATGGTACATGTTAATTTCCACGGAAAAAATGTGTTGCCGAGATTGCAGTCAAGATTTTTTATTATCGGATGCAATTTCTATCACTAAGGTTGTTATCGTTACGAATATTTATGTAAAATTATGATTTTTCCTTTGTGAAATATAGATTTCATCGTATAGTTGCTGTTTAATTGTTTGTTGCGACACATGCACTCCGTTTCCGTGGTACATCGCCAAGCTTCAAGGTCGACACCAGTCTGACGTCAAATGAATGAATAATCCAAAAAAAGAGTCGTACTGTGTTGAATGTTTACTGCTTTTAAGTCGCTATGCTCAGAAATTTGTCATTGTGAATTGCAGGATTAATATGGATTTATTTCATCAGGTTGATTTCATGGTGGTGAATCAAACAGTTCGAAATGTGTGCTTTTTCCCTAAAACGAACAAAACGATAATTACTCTATTAGTATTACTTTTTTATTGGTCTATAAATCATATCAGGAGCAACTAAACCATTTCCAGATATATGTATGATTTTTCCCATGACAAATTCAAAATACCCCCAGTACAAAGGAATATTGTGAACTTTTTATCTGGGTTCCTAGCATAGAGTAGGGTCTTTCTTTTAGTTTCCTAACTAGTGAGAGTTTGGCAATATCAAAACCCTCTCGTCCATGACCTAACCCCCCCCCCCCCCTCAATTTAGTTGTACATGTAGTTGTTGAAGACAGTTATCTAAACTGTGTATACAGTTAAAATCCGGAAGGGTGACATTTTGGGGTTAGGGTCCTTAAAGAACTCACTAAACAGGTTATTTTTTTTCACAATAATCTATTTTATTTTGGTCTTGTAGTTTTTCAGCATGCTGTGCCATCTTCCTGTAATCGTAGTGATGTTTTCATAGCTAGCCCATGGAACTAAAAACACTAGGAAAGAATGTCCGCTTTTCCAAAATAATACCATCAGTACACGCTGGGCTTAAGATTGACTTTATGTATATATGAAACATTATTCAATGCGATAATTAAAACAAAAGAATAATCACATAATCTAAGCATTCAAGTACTAGTATTTAATCTATTTTCTTTCTCGTTCTTCTTCAGTTCCATGACAAGCCTAACAAAATGCAACAAATTATTCACTGTTGCACTGTCCATACAGTATAAGTATTCGATAACAAGTGTTAGTGAATAAAAATACTTGATGCCGTTCCAGAAATCGACTAAACAATATTTTCAATGACCCCCCTCCCCTCCCAAAATGGCAGTTTGATTGAAAATTCTTTCATCCCTGAAAATAAGAAAGATGCACACTGAAACTTCTTTTATTTACAATTTGTCTAATTATCTTAAGCTCGTATTGTATTTTATGTTTGGTTTTAATTTAATTTTGGTAATTTATTGAACTTCTTAAATACTGCTTTTAGTTTTCCAAATTTCTGTTCACCTCTACTAGTAGTTTAACTAATTTAAGCCTTAATTAATGAAAACAAAAACTGGAAAAATCAAAATGCAAATGATAATGCATGCATGCATACACACAAAAATGACAACATTTTTATCTGAGTTGCATTTTGATCTGTTGATTTCACTACATGTCATTTAATGTGGCAATTAACATATTAACCCTTATCCTGACTTAACCAGATAAGGGTTAAGGTAAAACGAGTAAATTAACAAATGAAACTTATTTTACCTATTTGCGTAATAGTCTTCTACAGTGCTAACTGTGTGTTTTTTTTATGAACACTGCGAGTGATTGTGTTAGCAGACAACAAATGATGCATTATTATATATGCTACCTTTAATTGTTTTTTCATTGGTTTACTCTAAAAATTTAAATGTAAATTAGTATTCTAGAACTATTAGTTTTTCAAAACTAATTATTTGAAAGGGGTAGAAATTTTAGATTTCTTATGGTTATCAACAATTTTGCATTTGGACCTCCGAAGATTTAAATATTTAAAAACATATTACTTGGGCACCAATGGAAGGAGTGATATGCAGTCAGCTTCACAACGGGTTTGACAACAAGTTGGTTCTGTTAATTGTTAAATTAACAGCTGTATCCAACTGCAGTTCTTTGTCCATTCACTTTTGATCTACTTGTTTGAATACTTGTACTATGTTAATGTAGTGCCATATGGTTAATGTAGGGTTGATTTACAGTTTCTCATATACTTCCTTTGTGGATAATATGACCTTGTAGCTTGGCAAGTGAGTAGCTTTGTGCAAATCGTCACTAGTGTACATTAACACAGGGGAAATTTTATTGATGCTTGTTCTTGGCAGGTAGATGTTTGTAGTCTGTCCAGTTTAGAAGGAAAATGGTATTAAATTCTTCATTAATATTCACTGAATGTGTAGATGCATCAGCTTCTGGATCCATATTGCTGATATGCTTATGTTCTAACTACATTACTATAAACAAAAGTATACATCTTAAATTTGCCATGTATGTATTAAAATGCATCTAATTTGATTTTGCTTAGGAGGAACACTAACTACAATAATAAATAGGAAATTTTTTGTGTATACTAATATTTGAAATATCGATAGTCAAGTTTGGTAAGTTGTCTGTACCTATTTTTCTGACATTTAATGTTTGCCTGTTCCAGGTCCCAGGACTGGGGTCCCAGGCCCTGACAATAGAAATGGACAACCCCAGGATGCTTCCAATGCAGAGGAGGGCCCAGGAGGTATGGAACCTGAAGGCACTATTGAAGTAAGTTGAACTTCAAGTAAAAGCTACCTTTGAAACATGACAAAAATTAATCAGTAAATCTTTCAAAAATTGTGTTTTTATGGAGAAAGAACGTGTTCCCAAAAAAACATGTGCAAAATGATCTAAAAAGTGGTCATTTTAGAACATTTTCCGTGTGATCCATGTAAACACATTCCATGGATAAAATTGTACAAATATTCAGAATTCTCCCATTTATTTTTAGCATATGTAGTATATAAGGCCATTGTGTGGAAAACCTAGTTCGGTCGGTGACCATATATTTTTTTATCAACAATTTGGAATTACAGCAACCTAACCACCTTTTGCTGCATTTTGAGGATTTCTGAATATAGTTTTTAATGGAAGCAAACTACTTTAACACGAAGTACAAGCTTAATCTTTACAGTAATGCATCTTTCAACTTGATTATCAGTATTCAACTCTCCATTCACCCTCTGCTCTACAATATACAAAACCATAATTTTTAGATAGATTAGAAATGTGTTGCTTTTTTTTTTTGCAGAGTAACTGGGATGAGGTAGTTGATAATTTTGATAATATGAATCTGAAAGAAGACTTACTCAGAGGCATTTATGCCTATGGTTTTGAAAAGCCGTCTGCAATTCAGCAGCGTGCCATTATTCCCTGTTGCAAAGGTAAGTGAAAAAAAAAACGTCCAGTTATTTGGTTTGTGTAGTATTCCATTGGATACCTTCATAGGATCCAATTAAAAATACTTAATGGGAAACGAAAACTAATTTGTTTAACAGTGAATCTGCAATTTTGCCATGTGCCAACCTGTCTATGTGTTCACTGGTGATATGCAAATAAGTATGATATTTAATGTTGTTCATATGCCTTCGTCTTGATGTTTGAAATACACTTTTACTCTGTGATGTTGATATAAAAATACAATTAAATGGGATAAACAGTCGTTCACAGTGGTATAGTTATGTGTATTTGTTTTAAAAAGCTCTTGAATTTTGTTTTGTATGCTGCAGTTGGTATCATTATTGCTAACACTGAGCGAGTTTGTGTGTGAATTGGATAGAACATCAAGTTAATCAATCACTGAACAGAATTTAATGGTCTCAAACTTTGCTTGCACTTGTTCAAAAATTGTAGGTGCCGTAGATGTACAACGCTGTGATTTTTATAAAGTCTGGAAATGTGTGTAATAGACCCCACGGCCTTGTCCTGACATTTTTGTAGTATGGGATATATTTTTTACTTGTGATGTGGTGTATTCATGCTGCATTTTCACTCGACCACATGATACACCTCATCACTCATGAAAATAACTTCCATACCCTGCAAACATGGTTTCATGGGGTTCTGTCATATTACCTATACTGTCTTGTTACAATGCAATTCCAACGATGACATCCAGTGAGGTTGGCCTTCACTTGGCTCTGTCAGTGTGGCATACGGGAGCTGAGCATATTTTGCATGATGTATATTCCCATTCCACGACGTTGGAGAACAATCTTGTCCCCGCTGTCATCATGTTTCAGCATAATGTCAGTGGTGTGGACAGATTCTTGCATATTCCCACTCCTTCTCAGAGTTACTATGTGACCATTACTGAGGAAAGAGACCATGCAAGGAACAATTTAACATGGTTCATGTAGTAGTGCAATAGTACTACAAATCACTTACAACTAACAACAATGGAGCAGTGTAATAATTTTGATTGTAAAGTAGTTAATTTAGTTAATGGCAGTTTTGTTGAAGCTGCATTTGCTCTATTCTAAGCGCATCTCTGTTGCTACTTGGCAACAAGGCTCTTTAAAAGTGTGGTGTATGCATGTAAAAATGAGTTTATTATTCATGTCACTGTTTGACATAAACATAAGTTTAGTAGGAAAAGCAGAATTAAGTTTTGGATTATTTATTTTCAGGTAGAGACGTTATTGCTCAAGCCCAGTCAGGTACTGGCAAAACTGCCACATTTTCAATTGCTATCCTGCAGCAGTTGGAAATTACAAGAATGAGCAGCCAGGCTCTGATTCTTGCCCCCACACGTGAATTAGCCCAGCAGGTTAGTATAGTAGTGCCATCCAAAACATGCTTCAAAACTACTGTAAATGCATTAATATTTCACTGGGTTTTAATTTCGCTGATAAATAAAATCCGCTATATTAAATCTACATGACATTGTTTTCTTAAATTTGTGAAATTACAACAGTGAATATGCTCAAAATAGTAAAATATCAGTGAAAATAAATTTTGATTTTGATGTTATGGTCATCATCATAATGCTCAGTAGTGTTTTTTTTTTTTTTTTTTGATTGTATTGCATGTGATTGGTCAAATAATCATTCATGTTGTGTGACTTGATACATTTTATGACAATAGTTTTGCTTGTTGCTCTGCAATTTTTATATCCTTTTGAAGAAATGTTCGGTGTTTTGATTATTATTCAAGCTGGATTTCAATTGTAGTTGATATCATAATTAGAACTTTTGTTGCAGATTCAGAAAGTGGTGATTGCTTTAGGTGATTACATGGGTGCTCAGTGCCATGCCTGTATTGGTGGTACAAATGTTCGTGAGGACATGCGAAAACTTGAAAGTGGGCAACACGTGGTGGTAGGAACTCCAGGTCGTGTGCATGACATGATCAATCGTAGAGCTCTAAGTAAGTATTCGACATTCAAAACTGGCTTGTGTATTTTTCCTTTACATTTATCTATTTTAAAGAACCCTTTTCCTGAGTTCTCTTGGGGACAGATGTGCAGAATAAATTTGCACATGCGCACATTTTATATTGCATTGTTGATGTACCATCAGAATTCAGAAAAAGGATCTTAATTATCTTTGCTGTTGAATGTCTTTGATTGTGCGCAGTCAATGTAAAGCAATTTCTGCCATGTTTGTCTGCATGGTTTACCCAGTACTGTAAAATCTGTATTAGAAACCGCGGCTTCTATTAAAATGGTACAATGCAACAGAGAGGATACGGCTTCTATTAGAGCGTCTACACATATGAGAAATGGTGAATTTTTGGTTCTCAATTGTTCAAAAAGAATGGGTGCGACTTCTATTATGGATGCGGCTTCTAATACAGATTTTACGGTACTAACAACTATCCAGGAAATAATCGTGATGGCATTTATTTGTTCAGTTGAATTACTGATAATGTACGCTTTACTGCCTTTCATTGTCAACAGGTCATTGTAGCTTACCCATGTATGGTAGTCATATACACACAGATACAGTAATTTGGAAAAGTAAAACTATGTCCAATATCTCCAACCACACTTCTTGACATGACAGTTAATTTGTGTTTTGGAAGAGATGAGCTCACGAGGAAATAAACACCCATCCCAAAAAATGGAGTTGGCTCATAGGTGTTTAAAATTACAGCTGACTTGTAATTCCAACGATGACATCCAGTGAGGTTGGCCTTCACTTGGCTCTGTCAGTGTGGCGTACGGGAGCTGAGCACATTTTGCATGATGTATATTCCCATTCCATGACGTTGGAGAACAATCTTGTCCCCACTGTCATCATGTTTCAGCATAATGTCAGTGGTGTGGACAGATTCTTGCATATTCCCACTCCTTCTCAGAGTTACTATGTGACCATTACTGAGGAAAGAGACCATGCAAGGAACATTGTTAATTTTTGGTTGAATAAATTAAATTCCTATGTGCTTCACAAATCAAACAAAAATTTGTTTTCAACTCTTTCAGATGTGAGCGATATAAAAATTTTTGTATTGGATGAAGCTGACGAAATGTTGTCGAGAGGTTTCAAAGATCAAATCTATGATGTCTTTAGGCTGTTGCCTCACAGCGTACAAGTCATACTGCTGTCAGCTACCATGCCAGTTGATGTGCTTGAAGTGACTAAGAAATTCATGCGTGATCCAATTAGGATCCTTGTCAGAAAGGAAGAACTCACCCTGGAGGGTATTAGACAATTCTATATCAATGTGGAAAGAGAGGCAAGTTTTTAATAATTTTGGCACCCTAGGGTCAAAAGTAGAAATGGTGATCCGGAGTCCGTGTGATCAATTAATACCCACTTCTCTAATATGTAAATTAACCGTCTTGTCGAAAAACTAAACGTGTTCTCCCGGGGTTCTTGATGCATCTCTATGCAAAAGAACTTAAAAGCTTGCAAAATTGTGCGTATGGTCCACCACAACTTTACATGCTTTCCCAGCTTAAAAAAAGCATTGCAATGATAGAACATTAATTACATTGTACCGTATTTATCCGGGTATAAGCCTCGGGTCCTGAACATGGAAAATTGCCAAAAAATAGGGGTGGGCGTTTGCCAGGAGATTCCTGGCAAAAAACCTGAAAATTTGCGATATTGACAACACGCAGATCGAACTGCGGTAGGGAATAGAACGGCAAATGAAAACATGCAACGGAAATAAATGAACAATATGCAACATAAAGTGACAAATTAACCAGAAATAATAAAAATCTACAGTGAGAAATCATTTGAACTAGGATTTTCCCGCCGACAAGCGCGTGAACTCAAAATGAATTAAAATATCAGGGGTTAAACTGCGTAAAATGATTTCCGGTCTCGACAAATTACGAATCAACTGTCATACAAGATCAATAATAATTTACAAATTTACACAGTAAAAATTATAAAAATTCATAGCTGTTTAAAAAAACTTCTCAGATCCTTATTTGTACGTTCATTGCCATCTTCGTCAAACTCAAAACCCTGAAAGTCCAAGACGGCGTCACTGTAGCCATTGAACAAAATCCCTACAACTTCTTCCTGAAGTTCGTCGATATCGTATCACACAATTTGGACTTAGCACTTTTAATCCACGAATTTAGCAGTCTGTCAGCTTCGCACTTTTCATTCATGTCTAATCGCAATAAAGAGACAGGAAAACTGGGTCCCCTCTGCTGCGATGGCACACAATGCTTTTGTTTACAATCTGGCAATCATCTTTGACCTTTACTGATTAGCATCACTACTGGTATTTCATCATAAAGGTCAAATCGTGACATTGCTTTCTTGTTAGATTCGACGCTTATCAATCGCAGTGAAAGTTATCATTCATCAAGTTCCGGCGTTTGGATTGTGTCACTATATCGCGGATATCGTGGTGGACTTGAAATAGGAAGTTTTTTTTTTAAATCAAACAACAAGAATAGTTTCCATGACAGGAATGCAATAGCGGTGATAAAAGATGGTAAAAAAGTTGGCAGTCTTCGGCATGACATTGCAAAATTGCTGGCCCCAGTTATGGATTCGCAAGCTGCTAGCACATATTTATGAAGCCCAAATAACGCGATTTCAACCACTCTTCCAGGTACGGGTTGCTACAATATTGCAACATTGGTTTCATTGTCGACAACGCTAAAGCCAAACGAGTGCGACACTTGATTACCTGGTCTCCTTATACGATTTGCTTGAATCGTTTCTAAGGAAGCACAAACCAAACGACTGGCCCTTTTTAGGGCCAAGACATATTTCAAAAAAAAAGAACTACAGTTTCTGCTTTAATATATATTTTTATAGACTTGCTGACTGTTATGATTCTGAAAAAAAAATAAGCGGTGAACACGCTGCCCTGAAGGCAAAAAGCTGTCACAGCTATTTCGCGTTCACCCCTTGTTTTGTGCAAGAAACAATTATATTTAAAATAAATTTATAAGCATCACGACAGACTTCAAGAAAGTCAGCTGTTAATACAACCACAGTCAACAAATAGAAAATAGTTTTTTGTAATTTTTTGTGTAGAAAAAGACCCCCTGGGCGTGTGCCCGGATATGACCTCAACTTCTTTATTGTGTCAAAAGTGGGGGGTGTGCGTTTGTCCAGGCATGGGCTCTTACCCGGATAAGTACGGTAAAACTAAAATTTTGGCTGATTATGCTGGGATGTTAGCATTTCCTTAATATTCATATTTAATTCATTGGCAATAAGAACTGCAGCGTCGTTTTGAAATTGAGATTGGCTGCACTGGAGCAGGGGTGGGTGAAAACAACTTCCCAGCTTATAATGCTGTAAAAAATGTGAAACTGATTTGTGAGAAGATATAAAATACTAAAGCTGAAAAGCTCGAATTAAGCAATTTGATTTGGCTGACCTGAAATTTAAAGTGGTATGTACTGAATCCAAAATTTAATTGGGTCTCGATTTTATTTTTCGTTTATTTGGCAATTCAATTAATATATGACAGATGTGTTTTAAAGCCTTTTTCCAACTAGTAATGTATTCAAATCAGAAATAAATTTCCTGTAAAATGCATTCATGTTGTGGTATTGTACTGTACTGATTTTTCCATTGCAAAGTTTCAAAGATACACCTGCTGTGCAGTTTTGGTGTTGTAACCAAATAAAAAAAGCAAGTGAGCAATTCAAGATTCAATTCAGGGTTATGGGAATCTGGTGATAAATTTGGTCATTAATGCTACATTCATAGTTAAGTTTTTACTAACTACATGATATTTTATTTTTTCAGGAATGGAAACTAGATACCTTGTGTGATTTATATGAAACTTTAACTATTACTCAGGCCGTCATTTTCAGTAATACAAGGCGGAAGGTTGACTGGCTTACTGAAAAAATGCAGGGAAGGGACTTTACAGTTTCATCTTTGGTAAGTTAAATTATAAGCAGTTAATAACGGTTGTGACTTTATTTTTGCTATGATACATTAAAAGGCTAAGACAACATGCATATTTTATATTATAATACCGTAAAATTCCTTTTTGAGGCCGCAGCTTTAATAGAAGCCGCACCCCTAACTTGAGACATTGTTTCATGTTGAAATTGACAAGTTTTGATCCCAGGGAAAAGTCTGCAATATAAGCCGCACCCCAAACTTTCACAAACCAAACAGCCACCACATATTTCAGGAAAAGATGTACCATTTAATTTTAAATTAAGGCATAATTTTTCGAACATTTCAATGATTCCTGACGCTTAGATTAGAGTCTAATTAAGGTTTTCCGTAGTCATTGACGCTTATTCCAGAGTACAGGTTTATTGTGGGTAACGTGACTGGGTAAACTGCGTTTCGACAATGAGCTGTTATTATCTTCAAAAGTGTTAAATTCTTCTTCAATCTTTCGAAAACAACTAATTTCTTGATTTAAAAAAAATTATGCCGTTTTCCCATCAAAATCAAAGCCAAACGATCGCACTACAACAACGGTAAATCTCTTCCGTGTTTCGTTTACCATGAGGTCGCTGAACTACTTTAACAAATTTAAATGAGCTATGGTAATTTAATCACTTTGGCACCATCCAGCGTTTCGGTTGGTTAATTAGCGACTTGACCTATCAGGTCAACATAAGTTTCAAGTCACTAAAGATGTTTGAACTAACATGGCGGATGTCGTATCGGATCGAGCATTTATGTGACCAAGGTCATTCGCTTGCGGTGAAACTAAGTTGAATTTTCACAACAATTCAATGAATTTATTTTTGGGGCATTATTGTAATCACTACTGATAATAATCAGCAATCGTAACACTTCGAAAACAAGCAAGTTATTCACTTGTGTGAAACGCAGCACGACCGTTACCGTGATCATTTGCTCCTAAGAATGCATTCGTTTTTGTTTTGACTTCTTTTAGAATATATACTTTTCATTATCAAAAATAAGAAAATAAATATAAATTACATTAAATAATATACTGAGTATTTTTTTCGTTATCTTTTTTTTTTTTTGATTGACTTTTTTTATTTTAATTTCCCCGATGTCTAGATTAAACATGGAATGTACAGTCACTCTGCCGGAAGTCGAACATGCCACAATTGACTGTGTCAGACGGCTGTCTGCACGGTTACTAAAAGAGTGACCGGTGCTAACGAATTAGTCTATTCAAGAGTTGTAGAATACAGTACCGTAATCTGCAAATGCATACAAATCTATTTGTAGATATTATTTATTGTGCACTATGTTATACAGTGTGAAATTTCGTTTGTGTACAAGTTTGTCTGTGTGTAAAAATCCGAAAGTGCCTTAGAATCGCAACAAAGTTGCAATCGTGTGTTGTGCATCTCATTAGCATATCATTATCCCTTCTGGCCTTTGTTTTCTGAAAAAAAATCTCACTGTTACCGAAGTGAATGCTCTAATTAAAGCCGCACCAAGACTTCACGCATCTGAATTCGTCCATTGAAAAAATGAATTTTAATTAAAGCCGCGGCCTCAAAAAGAACTTTTACGGTAATAAACCCCACCCAAAAAGTGGAGATTAGGTGTTTAAAATTACAGCTGACTTGTAATTCCAACGATGACATCCAGTGAGGTTGGCCTTCACTTGGCTCTGTCAGTGTGGCGTACGGGAGCTGAGCACATTTTGCATGATGTATATTCCCATTCCATGACGTTGGAGAACAATCTTGTCCCCACTGTCATCATGTTTCAGCATAATGTCAGTGGTGTGGACAGATTCTTGCATATTCCCACTCCTTCTCAGAGTTACTATGTGACCATTACTGAGGAAAGAGACCATGCAAGGAACAATTCAGAAATGTTAGTGCTGATTTGGGTTGCTTTTTAAAAGCGGTATGTGTGTGTTTTTAGTCTGTTTCAGACATGGTTTGAAATGTGACTGTCAATGCACTTCTTTCTAGTCATACTGCATTCACATTGACAGACATACAGGTGATGCATTGGACCCATAGACATGTGCATGTAACTTGTACTGGAACATTTATATCAACAGTAATACCAAACAAGTGAGCTTTGTCAATGCATCTTGCTGAAACCATAACAAAGTCGACTATTATTTCTTTTCAGCATGGAGACATGGACCAAAAGGAACGTGATATTATTATGAGGGAGTTCCGTTCTGGTTCCAGTCGTGTTTTAATTACCACTGATCTACTCGCACGTGGCATTGATGTCCAGCAGGTATCATTGGTTATCAACTATGACCTGCCTACCAATAGAGAAAACTACATTCACAGGCAAGTATGATAGTCAAAACTTTCTTTGGACGTGTTTACTCTTATAGTACTATGTACGAGAATGAATGCCTCTTGTTTGTACTGCCACATTTGAAAAATGTTTTATTAGTAACGCATGTTGTTTATGTGAATTAGAAATGTATCTATGGTCAAATAAGTAAAAGATTCAATATACAACTAATACATATTTTGGTTTTATATGCATTTTTATCGGAGATGTGCTCCAAAGAAAAACAAAACAAAACAAAACTTGTGCATACTCGGTGAAGAAATTTTCAAATGGGAGTTAATATGTTTTCAATCTATACACACTCTAAAACTTTCTTCAAAGCACCTATGTTGTAGTTGTACCTACCAGCAATATATCTGGTGGAATGACAATGACAATTTAGGTCGTCAAAAGAAAGGATATTAAGGCATGGTATTGTGGGTGAGAGGCAGATAGACTTGTTCTCATGTCTGTTATCTCAATTTACTGTGCAACATGTACATTATTTGTTGAAAAGTAATAATACTACGCTACTTCCCTGATCATAAGCCCCTCCCACCCCACCCCACCCCTCTATTTCTAGACATTTGAGAGCATCCCCAATTATAAGGACAGAGTGACCAGTGTTGACGACATTTATTAAAGTATACATTTAAAAAGTCGTGATTGTTACTGTTTGTTTCATGCTCAACATTAATGTCAGAGTGCATGGTGAACGTGCGCAACATGGTTCGAACCCTTTCCGTTGTTACTTTACATAAAGAGTTTGTTTAGAATAAAAATTATCCCACAAGAAAGATAATGAAGATTTTGTCTTTGCCAGTTTTCCCACAGACCCTACTCCTTTTTTTTACACCGTAAATCGTATTGTAATGAAATTTGTGTATTTTTATGAACATGTTACTGACTACTTTTCTTGTTTTTTTTCTTCAAAAAGACGTATTATTCCCCCGAGCTTTGGCATGGTAAACAAAAGATGTAATTTGGATAATTTTTCGTTGGTGCTCAAATGGTTACAATGATAAACCAAAAAAAAGTCTAAACCCACCCCAGGGAAAGCCCTTATTTCACATGTTGAGGCCCTGGGCTTGTGGTTGTGGAAGTATGGTATTTATAGCAAGAAACCAGACCTTCAGCTGTTACTCATACTCATCTTTCATACATTCTCTTTCGATAGGATTGGACGTGGTGGACGTTTTGGCCGTAAAGGCGTAGCCATAAATTTTATGACTGAAGATGATGTTCGCACTCTTCGAGATATTGAACAATTTTATAATACTCAGGTTGATGAGATGCCTATGAATGTTGCGGACTTGATCTAGAAGCATTCGGATTCGTGATTCTGTTGTCAGTTGCAGTACGACTATATGTTATTCAAATTCTCTATTGAATAGTCCTGTGCGACCACTGCTGCTCCAAAGGATTCTGGATAACAATTATTACTGTGCTGGCAACGATTTGACAGTGACGGATCCACATTGCTCAACATCACAACCAGCTTGGTTGTGAACTTTTGGAATATATATAGATTTATTTTAAGTATTCGTGTGACGGCCTCAAAAGTGCCCACAATCCGGTGTGACAGTTAATAATTCAGTGAAAAGTTGTGCTAAAACACAAAAGGGTATTATTATTGGTTCAGTTTGCTGTACCTGTACTGTTATTTTTTTTTTGCTTCCTACATTTGATATCGTATTTAAGTTCACACATATAAATAGTAATTAATGTGAAAAAAAGTGATATATTGTAACTTGAACAATACAAAGGGATTGCTCACTCTGCGACACCCTCGTATTTCGTAGAAAACAAATTTTTAGAGCCTTAGTTGTAGATTTTGGCATATAAAAGTAAAAAAAATAGCCCCTTGATATTCACTGCTGTGAATAAACTGGGCACTTTCAAACATTTTGTCACAAAAAACATTGTATATGTATGCATATTGTCAAATAAAAGGGTAAAAATGAAGCCTGGCAAATATAGAAATTGCAGTGGAAGGCTTGATGTTAATATAAAATTGCCTCTTTGCAAGATGTTCAACCCTAGGTATATTAAAAAATTAATTTACTTCCGAAAACTTGTGTAAGCAATTTATTTTTAGTCCTGCTCGCTGTCGTGAAATTGGGACGCGTGTTCAAAACTGCAGACCTATGGCCATTTTGTTTGAGGAAATACAGTTCAGGATCTATATATCTGACATCCATGCACCATTCAAATTTCATGCATCCCTTATAATTCATTGTCTGCCTGCACGGTGTTACGTTTGGACAGTCCTCGTAACACTGTCGTGTGGTTGCAGGATAGGAAGTTTACCAACCAATAGAAAGTTTTGTTATAATGACTGCCAAAAAGCACTTGCTGCTTTGCATTTCTGATTTCAGCTTCATGCAGATATGTTGCATTGACATTAGCTTTGAGGTACAACACCAACTTTTCTATAATACTCAAGTGGTGATAACATGATTACCATGCTTGGTGGTCGCAAGGCTGGTAAAGCATACGATTTACCATTTCCAGTGAGACTAAAAACTAACACGTCAGACTCTCCACCAAGTATAGCTTTTGTTTGAATATCTGTAAGTTGCATGATGTATAGATATTGCTGGTATTGCCTTGAAATTCAAGCAAACTCAGCTTCCACTGCACAGCGACTTTTATTCTCGGGGTAGGCATTTTCACCACCTGGCAACCATCACTGTGAAAAACAAAAGCCAAAAACTCTTAGAAAACAGTACTTTGGGATGGTTATTGACATTACCTCGTATACAAACACATTTAAATTTGGTTGTTTGGGATGTTTTTTGATTTTAGCTATTTTCGACGGGCGTTCCACAGCAGCTCGCACAGAGCCCATAGAAATGCGTGGTGCGAGTCTTTAATAGCAACATGGAGTGTCTTGTGACTTGCTCCGCCCAAGGATTTTGATAGCTTGGCCAAGCATGTTGATGAAAAAAGCAATATGATTGGCTGTTGGTAAACTGAGGCCACTGTCACATACATAGTCCGAATGAATAACTTCAAGCAGATAGCTTCGACAGAACATTCGCCTTGGAAATTCAAGATATAAGACATGTGCAACAGTCTCATGACCAGTATGATTGAGGCCAACAATTTTCAGTTTGCTAGATCAGTCATGTATTGATGGCCATCTTGTTTGAAAGATCTGAGCCAGTCTATGGTCGGCAATACAAATGGAATGTTGGCAAATTTTGTCGAGGTTATTCAGGTTTGGGCATCTCTGTGGAACCAGATGAAAAGTAGAAATGACCTATCCTGCGTTGAGGGGGACGCACTAGCCTAGGTTATTGGGACCAATACGGCAACCCCACCTTTATCTGGAAGTCAAAAATACACAAGGCGAGCAGTTTAATCACGCGTGGTTGTAGCCAACAGTTATTGCAAGTAAGGTCACTGTATCACTACCTGAACTGATCGCCCAAAAGGTGCGATTTAAAACTTAGTTTCACACAATTACATTCCTCATTTATACATGGGGCTACCCAATCTTGTGTATAATTGGCTTAGTAAATCAAAAACTAGAATATGCATGAAGCTCTTGTAAGATATTAAACTATGGTACCCTCATGGTAAGCAAAAGACTGCCATAATTAGGTTGACCACTAGAATTTAAGTTGACTGCTTGATGTCTGGCACAAATGCATACAAATTAAAAGCAAAACTATTTTGTTTTTTATACCCAGATTTAAATAGTTTTCATTCATTGGTGACGCCAGTTTTTATTAATACATAACTGATAGACATGCATTCATTCCATACATCTATGTGGCAAGCTGAACTCCAGTTTCCCGGAAAACTCTCACATAATCCACAGATAAAGTATATATAATTATTTATTGGTTTAGTGTATAAGAATAGTTGTACAAGATTTTTTGAAATGCCACATGTTCTGTTGACTCTGGCTTACATTAAGAACTGGTCCAGCCCAGAAACCTCACTGAAACAGCTCAATAATCAACTGATCTGCAAATATGTTGTAATAAATATCTGACTTGTTGATACACTTATCTCTCCAAAGAGTCTGCACAATACTGCATAAGCTGTTACAATACCAATTTGGCCGGGGGGGCCTATAGGAATTTATTAAGTTTACTCATGATGCATTTCACAGACAATACACAATATCCCGGGGTTACAGACCATAAAATGAATAGATTCCTCAAGTATTTACAGTAGACTATTTGCGTGATAATAACAAACGAAAACATTGCATTTAATGTTCACAGATGACTGTATGGTTAACAGTATCAGAACATGTATAAATGTTTTGTACTGTCAACTCCCTGGTACCAATTTGTTTTATTCTCCGTGACAAAACTGTTGCATGATGACTGTACACAGATCCATCATTTGTAGGTACTCATCGGCTCCATCTGATAACCGCTTATCAACCATTCCGAGACGCTCACAGATAATCGATTTTTGTTTCCCAGAAATATCAGCTTTTTGTACAATAATGTCATGAATCTGTAAAAAAAAAAAGCAAAAGCATAAATTTTTCTTCATTATTCAAGCAGAATGGAGTGGTATTATAGATTGAAGATGAGAATTTTGTGTTGTGCTGTGAAATCCGCGCATCTGTTGAAAATGAACAGATTGATCGTCAATTATTTGGTTTCCATGTTTTAGGAATTTGGGGGAATTCAAATTCCTGGTCAGACTAAGCATGTTCAAATAATTTGGGGAAGATCATATGTAAATCACAACCTCACTAAACTGCAAATTCAAATTAATTAAATTTGAGAAGATCATACATACTGTAAAACTCTGAAATAGCTACATGCCATTTTAGCAAATTTAACTCAATGAATAAATTAACTGAATCTTAATTTAGCTAAAATGCCAATAATCTCATTGTGAGAATATACTCTATTCTAATTAGTGAAATTGCGGATGAACTAATTTAGCTAAAATAACATGCTAGCTAAAAAAACATTTTACAGTAAATTACACAAGTGTTAGACTGTCGTCTTGCATGATCACGCAAGGGAGTAAACACAAATGTTGTGACCCTGGATGACGTTCTCGTACACTATCAGTGATCCTATGCGATGGGTATCACAACAGTTAATGCTTCATATATTTGGTACTTGGCTAATTGTATATGTACAGCATTTGTACAGAAATGGACAACCATTATGTAAGCGTGAGACAACTGCAGATGGTCCATAAAACTAT